TATAAATAAAATTATTAAAAAACAAAATACATAAACTTAACAGGTTTATTTCTTGTAACAAAAGCTGATGACCCATCATAGAAAGTACAGACAACCCCTTAAAAACACCCCCAGCCACCTCCACCCACCAGTCGCCTTGCTGTATGCCCTCTGAACTTGATTTCTCAGCCTGTCTGTGCCCACACCTGCAGGTGCAATGCTCTGTTCCTACGTTCCTACGGGAGAGGCCAAACCCAGGGTCAGCAGCTGGCGAGTTCTCCTCACCTCTTTGAGATTCAGTTTCTTCATTTGGAAAATGGATTACTGACACTTCCCTTTCAGGGTTGTTATGGGTATAAAATGACATCATAGATATATAAGCATCCAGTTCAGAGCAGGGGTTTAACATGTGTCTGTGGGATGAATGGATACCTCACCACCCTGATGCCTGTGTTTCTCTTTTCCTCCTAGTTTATCCTCTGCTTCAGCTTTTACCAGTGGGAGCCCATGACCTATGGCTCTTATCGCTACCCTAACTGGTCCATGGTGCTCGGATGGCTAATGCTAGCCTGTTCCGTTATATGGATCCCAATTATGTTTGTGATAAAAATGCATCTGGCTCCTGGCCGATTTATTGAGGTGAGTCTGCCCGCTACTCTCCCCTGGCATCCCCTCTCAAGGGAGAAGCCCCGCGAGCCCTGTGCATTAAAAACAAGAGATTCGGCAAAGTGATTCTAGAGGGAGACTTGATGATTAAGTGATTACAGTTACCAGCGTTTCTATTAAAGCCATTTTTATTATGTATTATTCCTCTAATGGAGGCGCTGAGCCAATCCGCAGGCTGAGCTGTTATTATGCTATCGCTCAGCGTGTTGACAGCTCTGGGGAATGAGTGATAGAAGTGCCTCCTCCCCTCTCACCCATGGTTTAAAGCCCAGTGCTTGGTTTTTAACCACACATCCGATTCCCCACTTCCCAATGTTCCCCTCTGTTTAAGGCTCTTCCCTCCAAGCATCTATTACCATTAAATTAAAAATCACTGCCCTTCCGTTGTGCCTGGGTTAGGGATGGCCGGGGTCCAGGCTGGTTAAAATGTCACCATCCCATAGAATGTAACAAGAGGTCCAGAGCATGGCTAGTAGAGATGAGACCTGTCTTTCTTTGTCAGTTAATCCCATGCTGGACCTATTTCTTAATTACAATGCAAAACAAAAATAAAAATCCCCACACGCTCACTCCAGAGTGGATGGGAAGGGGGCTGACTGCCACTTGTTGGGCCACCAGTAAAGTGTGGCCAGGCTGCTGTTATTTATGACAAGTCACTTGCTCAGACGTGCTGGGAATAGGGCAGCTCGGACTCCGTCTTGGAGAGCCAGAGGCCTGGCATTTTGGACCAGACCCGTGCTCCTCAGGGTTTGGCCCAGGGACCAGCTCGTTGGAGATGCAGATGATGAGACTCCAGCGTGGCTCCACTGAACCAGAGTCTTGGGGAAGTGAGACCCTGGAGTCTACAAGTTAACAAGCTCCCCAGGTGACTCTAATGTGCACTCACGTGTGAGGGGCATTGGATTAGAGCAGTGGTTCTCAACCTTGGCTGCACATTAGAATCACTTGGGAATCTTTTTAAAATCCTGATTTCTGGGCCTCATCCTCCGGAAATTCTGTTTATTTGTTACTAATGTTGTGGCCCCACCCCATAACAAAGAAACAGAATTTCCGGAGGATGAGGCCCAGAAATCAGGATTTTAAAAAGATTCCCAGGCGATTCTAATGTGCAGCCAAGGTTGAGAACCAATGGATTAGAGCAAGGGGCAGAAACACCTGCAGACAGAGCGCAGTGCTGAGCAGCCGTCAGGGCTTTGCTCTGGGTCAGCCAGGCTGAGAAGAGAAGGAGAGAGGTCTCTGGGATGTCCATGGAGGCTCCGGAGGGGAGAAGCGAGAAGGGAATAAAGCCTGTGAGTAAATGTGTAGCCAGATGTCCACGTGCTGTGAGGTAGCCTTGGTTTTCGCTGGACTAAAGGAGGAGGTAGAGTGGGCGAAGGGAGAGGTCGAAGTCTGCTTACTCAGGCAGACTTACTCCAGTTTTTGTCCTCAGGAAATACTATTTGTTGTCCCCTGGAGGTCAGTACCGAGGCCTCCTTGACCCCCAGGAAGCTTGCGGGTGTCCCTGATGAACTTCTCCACCAGCTGACCCAGAAATCTCTTTCCCCCTGAACAAAAGATGGCTTAGCATTACTATTTTTGTGTCAGACTGAAATTCTCTAAACTGATGAGTTGGCTATATAAATTTATTATGGTTGATTTGGGACACAGAGGTTGCAAACGGATAATTAAGGAGAGATTAAACTAACAGCTATAAGAGGCAGCTTCACTTTAATAGTTAATAAACATATAATTGTTCCCTCTTATGTAGTGAGAAATATGTTTTATTTCCTCCCTCTTTCTAAAATATGTCTCAGTGAGATTATGTTTTGGGTGAGAAGTTCGGTTGAAGGACTAGAGACACCCTATTATTTGCAGCTTGACTGCAAGAGCCCAACCCTGCTGAACCAAGTCAGAAGCATATATTTTTGTCAACAGATAATTAAAATCTTTGCTCACTCTTGGCAATGTCTCTTTGGGGCTGGGATATTTTTTTTTCTGGCCATTTATATACTTTGGGGAAATATGCTCAACAAAATCCAATTATTTTGATGTAGCAACCCACTGTTGGAACTAAAGAGCAAAAGTAATAGAGCACACGTGTCCCTTGCAAATTGCGTTTGGCAGTGTCGAGAGAAGTATGCGGGTTCTGTTCATTTGGAGGGAAAAATGTGTAATTAAAATCTGGGTCCTTTTTCCTCTATTAATCTTGCGCAAGGCAAATCCTAAGCAATTGTAATATTGCTTTCAGGGTGATGTAAATAATTTCAAGTGAACCAAACTAAGTCTCCTCTTTAATGAGACCGTGGCTTGGTTAAATAATGGCTGATCTTTCCACCTGCTTCTCCTGGTAGGGGACCTCTTGGCTCAAGAGGGGACCTGGAAAATGTGATTGCACACAGTTTGGGGGTGCGGGGTGGTACCTTGGGGAAGAAGGTGCAGTACTTCCGTGACCCTGTGTGTCTTTGGCTTCTTTGCAGAGGCTAAAGTTGGTGTGTTCGCCGCAGCCGGACTGGGGCCCATTCTTAGCTAAGCACCGTGGGGAGCGTTACAAGAACATGATCGACCCCTTGGGAACCTCCTCCCTGGGACTCAAAATGCCAGTGAAGGATTTGGAATTGGGCACCCAGTGCTAGTCTGATGGCATGAGATGGCCCAGACTTGATCCTGCTTTCCCTCTCTGCCTCCCCCTACTGGTTTCCCCAGTTTTCTTCCCATTTTGCTGCTGCTTTCTCCCCACTTCTCAGTTCGTATCTGTGCATGAGAGTGGTCCCATAGGACCTAGTGTCGCATGCTGTAGTGAAGAGCTAGACGGACCTCCTCAAGCGCGGTTCACCCACCTCCGTGGTGTCCGTTGGCAGTAGGGTTGGTCTGCTGAGCACGCACTTTACCCCACAGGAGCGGATCAGCTAGGTGAGCACTTTCTGGTGATGTCACAAGGAGGAATGTGTGATTTGCCAACGGAAAAATATATGCTGTGTGTTATCCGTGGTGCCCGTACAGTATCTACCGAATGGCAGAATCACAGGACCATTAACTCGGACTCATGGGTGTCATAGGGATGAGCTGAGCAGTACAGAGCTTTCATTCAGACACAGAAAGACCAGGGCATGGTACACTTGGAGGATCAGTGGTGGTCAGGACATGCGTTAGAGCAAGACAAGGCCAGCGGGTTTGGGCACCATCAAGGTGGTTAAGTTTCTATTTTGATTCACAATTGGGGATATTTCCTTCATGTGGAACAACTGTCTCAAGTGTGCGGGGACACAGATACTTCACTCTGCACATGGACCTCAACGAAGAGTCAGCTCCCTTCCCACTGCTGTCTTTTAAAAAATAACCCAATTTGTGAGTTCTTTGGTCATTTCCTCCACCCCTCCACAAGAAGCCATCCTATAATTTGTGCCTAATTTTGTATGTTCATAGTAGAGCTCCATTCCAGTTTCTACATGACATTTAGCACCATGGTTCAATGTCATGGTCCAGTGTTTCTTCTTTTCTACATGTCCTTCTATAAGCTGCAGATACCTTGCCTCTCAGCCTTTGGGACAATGAGACTTACCCTGGTCCGTCTATAAATTCTATATATAAGAAACAAACTCTTGAAAGACAGATAACTTCTCAATTTTTACTCTCAACTTTTTCATTCACAGTCAATTCCAAATGTAGTTACAGAGAAACCAAGGAGATGAAGAGTTTAATAGAAAACAACCATGATATTCACTGTGCTTTTAGGTCACAGTATTTACAGAAATTCCTGATAAATACAGTTTAGGTAAGTAGTGAGTGAGCCAATTAAGTATAGCCTTTAAGACTACATTTAGCTAATTCAATTTTAAGAGTTCCCAATTCACAGTACTCATAACCACACTCTAATGAGAGTGAATCACGTGTCTGTAGAGGTTGGTGAAGCTGTAACTTCATTAAGTTCTTGTATCCTGAATGTGTGTAGATGAAACTTTTCAAATGTGATATGTGGTCACATAGAGTGTGTACCCCTAGTGATGTTTTCTGTCCTTAAAAATATCTTGGAAATCATTGTAGAGAAAGTGAGTTTAGAATAGTGTAGCCTGGGTTTCTGTTTTCTGATGGTAAGAATTTCAAAACCTCAAATTGTTCCCTTTCGGGGAGATCATTTCAATCATTTTCTTATTTGTCTTCATGTTACAGGGTCTCAGGCAAAGTTCTCAGTTCAAATCTTGTATATTGACGTGACATTTTTATCCTTTCAACAGCAACGGGACCCAACACCAGACCTTAATGTAACATTGGTTAAAAAAGGACTTCATTTGTTAAAAGAAACAGTCTCAAGTCATTTTACTGAGCTGTCCCCTTTTCTAGGGAAAATAGCATTGCCATGTGCCAAACACAGATGCGAACTTCCAGTTTTCAAGAGCACCCTGAGGAAAGGTTTAGAAAAGGATGGGTTTTGAACTGGAGGTTTCCATCTCTTTGGTCTGCAATGCATGTTTGTTCTCCCTGTTCCCTGGTCTCTCTTTCTGTCTAGCTCCCAAAGCTAGAACTTACTAGACTCTCTCACAGAGACTAAACATTGAGCTCCCCCTGGACTTAGTGTTAGGAAGCTGAGCTGTGGCCTCACCTGCCCCAGTGTTTCCCGTAGTGGCCTGTCTGCCATGAACACTATTTTCCACAGAAAGCCATGCTGATGAGCGGCCCCCATTACGGGAGTAGAACTCGCCGAGTGGTATCCAACATCCGCCTCTGCCCATTGACACCTGGTGGAATGGGAGAGGGAGGAATAACTTAGGCTTGGAAATTATCTGCAGCCTTTCCAACTTGGACGTTGAAGAAAAGAGCTGAAATGAGTTGGCATTCTCTCGTGAGATCTGTATGTTTGCGTCAGGATGAACGGTGTTTGGATTTTCTCTCTCGCTTCTTGGCTAAAGCTTGAGTCTTGTGTTGGGTGCCAACCCCATTTCAGCTAATTATTGATGTTGTGATGAAAAGAATCTGGCTGCTGCCATATCTGCTTTGTGCAAACGGAAGGTGAACATCTGGTGAGAGTGGGTCCTCCTCCCCAGGCAGGGTGTTCTGCGGCTCGGAGCAGCCGCATTGGTGTTAATTACCATTTGTCCAGTTAGGACCCAGTAGCTGGTCCCTGAGCAGCTGGATTTTTTTTTCCTTTCCCCTCCAACTTCCAAGTTTTATATACACTTTCCTTAAAGGTGAAGGGTTCTGAAATTAGCTGGAAACAGTTACCTTGGAGAGGTGGTTTTGCCCATTTCTGTAGTTATGTTCCACTTCGAGGCTCTCTTTGCCAGATGTGTCCAGTGTCTGAGCTACCCCCAGTCATGGCGCACCTACCCTCCCGCAGACTTGGCTGGAACGCTGAGGGCTGGGAGATGCATGTGACCAGAGGGGTGTTTCCATGCTGTGTTAAAATGCAGTCAATTGGAAGAAAAAAATATTGAATGAATAAAGAGAAAATGAACAGTGTTGTAAACTGCCACTCGAGAGTTTCCCTGAAAACCGAGGAGAAAGCCAAGTTGCCGAGAAAAGACTTTATTGGTTTGCTGTGCAGAATGTGGGGTATTTTCCACCTGTGAGATTATTTCCTAACACCAACAAATGCCAGAAGTCCATTCTGAGTTTAAAAAAAAGCCATATGTTAAAAACAGTAACCCTGTAATGTCCTTAAAGGAGAAAAACATGTATATGTCTTAACTATTGGTGTTGTGGCTACTTCTGCAAATACTTGTCTAGCATATTAGTAACTTAGTCTTTAGGGCTATGTGTTTGTCGTGTATCAATGTGTCCAAGCTGGTCTTTGTTCCTTTTTCCTTTCTATTTATTTATTGCATGAAATCTGTGGTCAATGCAAATCAATGACCTCAATGTCTTTGAAATTTCCCATATGTTTTTAATATGTAAAAAGTGTAATCAACGTGTATTCCAGTGAGCAGCACTTTAAAAAGACATTTGACACAGTGAGCGTTAAATAGATACCAGAGTTGGGTTGTCTCTCTGCTGATTGGAGTTGAGTTTTCCTCTAAGATCTGTTCTGTTATCTACATGTGCCTCAGTGCTTCCTGACAACCTCCACCTGTCAGCATGGTTGTCCCATGCCTGAAGTTGAGAACTTTCTTTCCTGTTTGTCCCCTTGGCCATCGGCCATTGTCCTCTTCCCAGAGACTTGGGCACTAACTATTGCTTAACATTTGTGTGATGGCAAGATCATACCCCTGCTGTCACACCCATGTTTGGGTTTGGGACACACTTCTTCATGGCAGATGACTTGCATGAAGGCATGCTGTGCGGCAGGTTGTCTTACAAGGAAAAAAGTTCAGGGTCAATGAATGAGCAAAACTTCCAGGCTGGGAGCAAAGCTTTGGGTGATTTAATCCTGGTACTAATTTCTCCCCAAAGTGGCCCTAGAATTAGTGAAGGTGAAGCGTCCTAGCTTTCCCAGATTTTGCTTCAGTTGCACAGGAAGACCGAGTAGTTTTGAATTGTGGTCTCTGCTCGGTCATTTTTGAGCAACCTGCAGCCAAAGAGAAAGTGTGTTCAGATGGACTGAAAAGCAAGCAGTGGTCTGATTTACCTGCCGGCTTAAATACATCTTCAGGTAACCATTTGCCTTATAGGTGTATTTTATTGTTAGGATGATACTTACTAATTGATAGGAACCGTTTTGTCTCTCATTTTTGGGGTCTTTTTTTGCACTTTATTATGGACCTATCATGGAATAGGTTTATTCTTAAATTGCATAGTTGGCTAATGTCCTAAATGTAGTACTGTTGTCTATAAATAAAGATATGTTCGCTAATCAGGTCCTATTTTTTCATTAACTGTACATGAAGAAAATATATTATGTTACAAATGATGCACCATATATATATATCTTATAGAGTACATATTAGATACTGTGTACTATTCATTTAAGAAGTCATTATTCTTGAGGCCCTACCTCAAAGTTTGTATTTATGTACACAAATGCAATTTATTGTATTCTATATTTGCTTATTATATACTGATATAAATTAGAATTTATCCTAATAATGTATGAGTTCACAAAACCCTAAATAAATGTCCGTGTTTAAAACATGATGATCACAGTATTGTGTCTATTACAAACCCACATCCTTTCTTAATCAATGGCCTTCAGGTAACTGCAGGATTGATCTCTTTTATTGGGAGAAACCTGGAACAGAAATGGAAAACTGCTCTCCTGGGTAAATGAGATTGGCACTATTGAAGAAACACGTATTAATTAAATTGTCATATTCTTAACCACCAGAATACGCTATTGTTTGCTGAATTATTCATCACCCCTTCTAGGGAAGGTCAAAGAGGTAGGGAGAGAGTCAGAGTGAACCTGAGCAGAGGGACTGGGCAGTGTGTTAATAGGTGTGTATTAATGATCATGTTGTCCATCTTCAATTCCACTTTACTTCAGCAAACATGTGCGCAGTTCCCGCACTGAGTTAGACCCTAGGCAAAACTGAATAAAAAACAAAACAGCCCCAGATCTCAAGGGACTCAGAGACTAGTAATAAGACCACTCATATACATTTTGTTGTTGTTGTTAATCCTCGCCTGAGGATATTTTTTCCACTGATTTTTAGAGAGAGTGGAAGAGAGAAAGGGAGGAGGAGGAAGAGAGAGAGAAACATCAACGTGAGAGAGACACATTGATTTGTTGCCTCCCGCAAGTGCCCCAACCTGGGCCGGGATTGAACCTGAAACCCTCCGGTACATGAGCCAATGCTCTAACCACTTAGAAACACGGCCAGGGCAAGGCTACTCATTTTAAACAAACATACAAATCAGTCAATGCCATCTCTCCTCTTTTAAGTGGGTGGAGACCCTGGTTTCCTGCCCAGAGATGAGCCCCGAGCCCCAGTGTCTTGTGTAGAGACTGGCTGCTGGGCATTCCTATTTCATTCTGTCAACCATGAAGCTTGTCTCTGCTGTTCTCAAATGAACATGGCACACTCCCCTCCCCCACATCTTCTGCTTCCCAGATGGCAGGATGAGCTGGGCTGCCTTTAGTGGGAAAAGAAATGCCCTCCCCTCTGATGTTGTAAACCATGCGCCAAGAGCCCCCGTGTCCATTCCGTGGAAATGGGACTTGCACACATGCCAAGGCTTGTCCATACACCGCCCTTCAACAGGCAGACTGAGCAGCAAGTACCAAACAGCGCAACCTTACGCTGAAAGAGGCAGAAGTTCGCCCTGTGGGACCAGAGTTCAGAGCCGGCTCATCATCCTCAATTTCCGCCCTGAGGTCCCTTTGCTCAGTTGTATTTTCTTTTAATGTTTTATTTGGAAAACTCAAGCATCCACACAAGCAGAGAGAGAGTAATAAACTCCCATGCCCATATTACTCAGTTTCAACCATGATCAACTTTTGTCCACGTTTATTTCATGTGCCCTCTCCCCATGCTGAACTGAGACTTTGTTTCTTTGGAGTGTATTCCAGTAGATCCCAGATATCACGGAATTTCACTTAAAAATGCGCTGTTATGTGTGTGTTTCTCTTCATATCTCTTAGCTGTTGATTTTTATTTATTTATTTTTTTTATTTTTTATTTTTTATTGCTAAAAGTATTACAAAGGGTATTACATATGTGTCCCCCCCCCCCCCCTTGACAATCCCCTGGCCTCCCCTACCCCCCAAGGAAACTTTTTGATGTGGTTGATGGAATACTGGGAAAGAAAATTTTTAACATAAGCAAGCTAGAAGATGTGTGTGAAATCTATAGGGGTTAAGATATCCATGACCCACACGCGATGAGTGAGATCATGTGGTATTTTTTCTTCATTGACTGGCTTATTTCACTTAGCATAATGCTCTCCAGTTCCATCCATGCTGTTGCAAATGGTAAGAGTTCCTTCTTTTTTACTTAGCTGTTGATTTTTAAAATTATTTTTAAAATTTTTCAATTACAGTTGACATTCAATGTTATATTAGTTTCAGGTGAATAGCAAAATGGTTAGACATTTGTATACACACAAAGTGATCCCTTGATAAGTCTAGTACCCATGTGACACCACACATAGTGATCACAATATTACTGTCTTCCCTGTGCTGTACTTCACATCACACATGTATTTTTTATACCCCTTTTGGATAGTCTTTCCCTAAGTGAGGACAATGACAAAATGTGGAAAGTTTTGAGCTCACATATCACTAGCAGGACCAACCTACTCTGGCAGGTAAAGAGGGGTTCGGGGCCTGTCATGTGGTGTTTGCTCTGATAACTCCCCTGGCTTCTGCTGTCCAATCTTTCATCTGGTTTTCATTTGGGCAATGATTTTCTTACTGAGTTACTCTTGCTGCCTTTGATTCCTCTCTGCTTTTGTTTATGCTTCCTTCCTCCTTCTTCCCAGATGTCCCTCCTGGAACCAGAGATTCAGAACCTCACAGTTGCACAGAAGTCCAACGTCTTTCATTCCAGCATGTCTGATATGCAAACTCTTCTATAACAGCTTGTTTTGTGGGAGCTGGATTTACAAAGAGATGCATGTGAGATGAGTAATAACTGTCTAAAAGCGGCACCCTGGGGGATCTTGACAACAGAGAACTCCTCTTGTGCCTTTAAAGTAGCTCAGCTTTACAAAAATTGGGTTTACGCCTCTGATTTTCACATTCTTCTCTGTAAAACAGAGCCGGTATGTGGCTTGGGCCACTCCTTTCTTGCCTTTTGGTGCAATCTGTAATTTTATGAGCATTTTGATACTGCAAGTCATTTGACCCACTGCTATTCCACTTCCCAGGAAACTTCTTCAGATATGTGTAGTATGAAAAGAAAACAATGACTAGAATATAGTGTAGATCCACATTTTCACCATTCATTGACCCATTCACTCATTTATTTATTCTTATGCTCTACTCAGTGTCTTAATTATTTATATGTTTCTATTACCTAACAGTTTGTGACACATAGTAGATACTCAATAAATGCACTTTTAAATTGAATGAGCAAATATTGGGTATCAGCTCTGTACAGCGAGCAGAGCTGAATGTTATAATGTGCAAGAAAAACATGGGTAAGACCAAGTCTCTCCCTCCAGGTTCTCAGAGTGAGGGGGATTTTCAGACAGAGGTACACATGGTGGAAAGTACTGAGGGCCACAGGAGGACTTAAGACAGGAACATATAAAGGGGGTGCAGAGGGAGAAGGTCTTCTGCAGAGAATTAGGCAGGACGTTGTGACATAGTGACACGGAGGACTTTGACTACGAGGTGAGCTTTACAGGTGAATGAGAGCAAGTAAGTGTTGGCATGGGGGTTAGACAGGCCATCTCAAGAAAGAGGGATGGACAGAATTAGAGGGTAGAGTATATGCTTGTGGGAGTGAGAACGAAGGCTGAAAATGTAGTTTAGAACCTGATGGTCAAAGACCTTCAGTATCAACAGGAAGAGTTCAGACACTGCCTGACAGGCCACAGGGAACCAAGTGGAGAAGGTTTCCTGGTGGAGGCAGCGAGAGTGCCAGACACAAGGCGCTAGGTTCGAGTTCCAGCTTTGTTTCTCAGGAACACAGTCTCAGTTTTCTCCTTTATAGAGCTGGGGCTATGGTGCCCATCTCACACAGCTGCCAGGAGGATTGCACAGAAATTAGTGTGCAGATAAATGTTGGGTATTTTCCATTAGAGCCAGACCTGTCCATTTGGAATATTGACCAGGTCGCAGTGCCAAGGACGAATCATAGTGGGGAGACACTTGAAGTAAGAACACTGGTTTGATTGTGCAAGAAACCAGCCTTTTCAAAAGGTTAGATGTGCCCAGCAAGTGTGGCTCAGTGAGGTCACAGTTCAATTCCAGGTTAGGGCATATTCCTGGGTTATGGGCTCGATCTTCAATAGGGGATGTGCAGGAGACAGCTGATCAATGATTCTCTCTCGTCATTTATGTTTCTATCTCCCTCTCCTTTCCTCTCTGAAATAAATAAAATATATATTTAAAAGTTAAGCAGTCTGTATGGAAGTGGCACCAGCTAATAGGAAAGGACACGCAGTGAGGTTGGAGCACTCATTGGAGACCCTTGTCCTGCAGGAGCTGCCATGTTTGTGGATCTCTGCGAAGTCTCAGAGTCCAGAGGACGTGCTGGGGCAGGTGGGGCTCAGGGGGCTCAGCTTGGGTATTTGTATCCCATTACTTGGTTCCTCTGCCTTGTCCTTTCAGAAAGCAGAGGCTGAGGGGTTTTGTGGTTATTTCTGAGGGATACTCAATTTGCATAATTTGCCTTCTGACTGCCTGCCATCTGCACCCCCATGCTGGTATTGGGGAGACACGCACAAGGAGAGCTCTGGGCCCTACCTTTAAGGTTGCATGAATTTGCTTTTTCTTGGCTGAGGGCTTTTAGATAGACCATATTAAAAAAAATCACTCTGTCCACCTGCTCAGAAGTGGAGGGCCCACACATTCTCAATGCACATTCTCTCTCCTTTCTTGCCTTCTTGCGAGTACTTCATAAATCTACACAGCTGGTGTCTTGAGGTGAGGGGAAGAATTACGATGGACTTGCACTGGCCAGTACTGGCATTTTGCAGAGAGGGAGAGTTGTAGAGACTGGATTTCTCCTTCTCGGGAACACCTCTGACTGTAGCAAGGCTTGGCACCTAGTCACAATGAGATATTTCCCAGTTCCCTTGCCGCCGGGCATGGTCGGTGAACTGCACGTCTTCAAACACTCCCCCCCCCCCCCCCCCC